GTTTTATTTTATAATAAATTTTAAGCAAAAGTACACATTAAGAAAGACACACACAAGCAAAAAGATAAAGAGCCAAAAAGTTAACGTTTGATAGCAATTACTGCTTAACTCTTCACCAGTACATCAGACAGTCTCTTGTTAAGAACTTTATACACATGGGAAAGTTACTCTTGAGAAATCTTTATGAATTACTCAACATGAAGGGGTAAGTCTAAATTTTAGTCTGAAAGACATCATGAGAGCCCGGAGCTAGCCGGCCAGCTTTCTGTGAAAAAGAAGTATTTAATAGAAAAGATACAAAAAGAAGTGCCATGTATTCAATCCCAGTTCAGTCCATTCTCCTATTCAAACCAGAATTCAGATTCAGCAAGGACCTACTGTGCAGCCAGCATGTGCTGGACCCTTCACAGGCTTCATCGAAAGACAAAAGGAACCAAGAGTCAGGTAATTGGCTTTTCTGCCCTACACCCACTTTTGGGGAGGGAAGTGGGGGGCAGCTGTGTTTCATCATCTTTTGTTTTTCCTGCTTTTGAAAAAATACATATTTTAAAATGCCCCAAGCTTTTATTTTTCTCTTATTTCTGTTGTTTGTATTTTTGAGTGTTTCTGGGATTTTGGCATGTTCTTCTCAGTTCATGTACTTCCCCCAATGCTTATCTCTCCTAATCCTGTTTCATCAAGCTTCTCTCTCCACCCGCCCCCACAAACCCAGGCCAACATTCACAACTCCCAGGGTTTTCCCAGAACTCATTTGACGGGCTGGTTACTCAACCCCGTATCTCCAACCCTTAAAAAGGATTTAAGATGTTAAATGTTCTCTTTTCTAGTTCACACCATGATAAAGTGGAGCAGCAGTTCTTAGTCTGAACTGGAAGCATTTTGTTGGGCCCCTAATCGCAACTTTAGAATAGAGGTGTGCTTCAGGAAAGAAAACACCAGGACAGTTCCATTTTATTATTACGCCCGCTGCCCTGGGGATGCAGAGTATGCAGGTACATAGTGGTCCAGAATCACTATAGCATTTTAATGCTTTCAGAGCCACCCCTCCCCTCCCAATAAAGAAAAAAAAAGACCTAGAGAAGTCAACGAAGTTGCCAGAATCCACATTTCCAGCCTTCTCTTCTGGAGCCTATTGTATTTCTGTTTCCTAATTTCCTAGATGTAATGAAGTGACTGCACTATAGACCCACCACTGTGTGCCAGCCACATTGATCCACCTGCCTGTGCTCCTTGGATACAAGAGGCTCACTCCAGTTTCTGGGCACCTGCATCAATTATTCCTCTGCCTGCAGTGATCTTCCCACCAGTATGTATAGGGCTGGCTCTTTCCTGTCAGTCAGGTCTCAGCTCAGAGGACCCCACCTCAAAAAGGTCCTCCCTGACCACCAATCGGAAAGAGCTCTTCCCATAATTCTCTGCCACATTCTCTACCATATTTATTTTATCCTGCTCATTTTTTAAAAATCATGATCCCAGACCATTTCCTTTAGTTGTTTCTCTCATAGTCTGTATCTCCCCAACTGGATATAAACTTCACGAGAGCAGTGACTTATCTTATTTACCACTAGATCCCTGTGCCTAAAACAGTGTCCAGCAGCGTGGGCAGTCAAAACAAACACCTGTTCACTGAATAAGTAAACACAATATTGCATGATTTTCCTATTCTACGTTCCTTGAGACAACATCTGATACAATGTAAAAAAAATCACCAGCAATTTTCACAGGCAATCTCAAAAACAGAATTGACCACAATAAAGTCTTTGAGGAGTTGAGGAAATTCTTTCCTGTATCAAATCTCTAGTTAAAAACAAATATCAATATCTATATGCCAGTCTGTTTATCTATATCTATCTATCTATCTATCTATCTATCTATCTATCTATCATCTATCATATATCTATCTGTTTGTCTGTCTATCTATCACCATCTGCATCTAAAGCAACTCATCAGGCCAACTAGTTCTTGTGTTAGAGTAGCTTACAACTTAGCTGGAAGTTTCCAATATTTCTTTCATACACAAAACATTTTACCCAAAATAAGTAGAATAAGATAGAATGGAATATGGAATTATGCACCTGATGAATTCTTTCCACTTCAGTAAGACTTTTAGTGTTTCCGCTGGGGGTAAAAACTGGACTACAGAATTATCTGAGTAAGCTGTTCTCAAATATCCACTGCCCTCTTCTGCAGAAATCTAAGCCCAACCCAGTTCATCTGCTCAAATTTGCTATGGTCCTGCCATGTCTATGGAGAAAGCCAGCCCTACTAGAGTAGCCCAAGTGACCGAGCCAAGGATGGGTTCCCAAGTCAAAGGCAATCATGTACAGACGGAACGTTAAGGGAAACCAACTGCTTTGAAACTGGCATGGTACAAATTATGCCCAAGCAAGGAGCTTCAAAGTGGATGGCCGTACCCCGAACCCCTCAGGTTCCTCTTTTTGGGGAAGCATCCATACTAAGTAATCAAAGAGAAGGCTCTACGCTGAATGATAGTGAGCTGTAGATGAGACCTGCTGTCCATCCTGAACCATGCCACATTCTCTTGTATCCTTGCCCAAACTCTTAAGTAAAAGTCATCTATGCATGTGTCTTCCTTGCACCATAAAGAATAAATTCACCCATCCACAGACCTTAAAGTATAAACCCTCTAACTATACATGAAACAGGAGAAATTATTTTCTCCATAATCTAAAAACATTAACAAGCCCCTGCAGAAAGGAATGTCGAAGTATGGCTGCCCTCAAATAACTTTTAGAAAGAACCGTTACATATAATTCAGTGGTACAACTGGAAAGTAACCTTAACTTTGTTTCTTTGACCTCAAGAAACAAACTTAACTCTTACTCCATAAACAAGAAAAATCCCCCCAGCTACAATAACGTATAAGATTAGAGCATGGTCCGGTGACATCTGCAAAATGTATTCAGTGGTTCTTTAATAAAGTTGAGTCAGCAATTACAAAATATGTATTCTGGTTCCATAATTCAATTCAACCAACATGAGTGCATATCTGCTATGTACCCGGCATAGTGTTAGGAGCTAGGATGAATAAATCAGATACCACTTTCCAGGAACTCAGATGGAGACTAAGAAGGAAAACAAAATAGAGAAGAAAGATTTACTGAATCCAATGTGGTAAGTCCTGTAAAAGATAGGCACCTGATGTGATAATATTGCTGGCAGCCTCCACTTTTTCCTGGAATACACATCATACAGGAGTTTGCCAAAGAAAGGTGTTATTTTCCTTTTGGGATTGGTGCCAAATAAACTGGGCTAAATAAATAGCACCAAACAAATTGATAAACAGTCTGTTCAAAAAACAATGTTTCAACAATTAGAAGCATCTGTGTTACTATAAAAGAAAATATTAAGCATCATGTCCTATAAAAATTCAACATGTTACATAAGGGTTTTCAAGATTCAAAGAGGATGGGAAGAATATAACAGTTATGGGAAGTGTTACACACTGAACAGCACAAACTGTTTATAATACCTATATTATCTAATCTCTTTAGAAAAAAATTTTGAGGCAATGCTTTCCTTTTTTCTCAATAAATTTCCCTGGGCTGGAGGGACATCCAAAATCCTCCCACTGACTCTGGAGCTGTTCTCAAAGTATGTGCTGACCTTTACCAACTGTTGATAGTTGATATCAGTAGTGATATATCTTGGCTGAAAAGTGTTTTTTTTAAAGTTAAGAACACACCCTAGTTTCAGGATGTTCTCCAGTGTAGAATTAGAGTTAATAAAGGTCAATAGGAAAAGACACCTAAGAATTTAATAAACAGCGTTAAGAAAACCCCCCCTGAACTGCCCAACAATAATCATTATTACATTTTTGGGTAATCTATCTAGTCTTCCCCTCCAATAAAAAAAATGTTCTGCAGAATTACTAAAACTGAAATAAAAGTATATTCTGAAATAAAAGTATATCAGCCAGCAGCCAGTAGGAAAAAGGCACAGATAATCAAACTCATGGAGGTAAATGAAGAATATTAACTACCTGGAGCACTGGGACACCCATCAGAATAAAACCTCCACAGAGTTGCACAACAATGTGAATGTACCTAATGCCACTGAACTGTACATTTAAAAATGGCTAACATCATAAATGTTATATATACTTTTCCACAGTGAAAATGAAACAAACACCCTTCCCCCTAAAACAAAACACAACAAAAAACTTCGAGAAACTAGGGCTTGATCCATTTTGTATCCATAGCATCTAGAACATGTCAGCACATTAGAGACACTCAATAATATTTGTTGAATAAAACTAGAGAAAATAAGTCTAGTGATAGGATCTGTGTCCCTTTTTCCTAGTTCCTACCTCAGTCAACTCTGAAGAATAAGGAGAACAGAAAGATAACCTAGATACTGCTTACAAGAAATGTGCCCTGATGGTTTACTACTGATATTTAAGACATCAACCTGGCTCCTATAACTTTCCATGCTAGTGAACTCAGAATTCCAAGTAGAAATTCATTTGTCCCAAACTAAAAGCACAGCGAAAATGTCTCAACAATTGCTTCATCAGGGAAGCAAAATGGGGGGTAGGGGGGTTGAAGTCTGATGGTTGCAATGTAAGCATGGTCTACTTAAGAGTCTGCCAAGGCAAATTAAGGCTTCCATGGCTGACTGGCTAAAAGTGACTTGTTTCATCAGCAAGACCAGCAGACTTGTGTGTTTATATTTCATATCTACATGCAAAGTGCAAAACCTTCACACCTAAAAATGTGCTTCAAAACGCAGTAATGAAATTCTAATATGCTTTAGTTTTAGAATTTACTCACATCTTTGCTAGACTGAGAAAGACCATTCATCCTATATCATTTACTGATGCCTACTAAGCGCAGCCCTTGAGGTAGGCTTTAGGGATTCATGAATAAATGATGGTTAGAACAGGTCAGTATACCAGCTTTCACATACTTTCCTGGCTGGTATTACTTTATGTATTCTGGACAGATGAAAATCCATTTCTTGAACCTTTCTAAACTCACCTGTTGGCTTAGTAATGGGGCTCTGGACAGGTGTGGTTTTTCCACTTGAAGATCCTATAAAAAAAATTAAAAATATAAGTATAAATATGAATATAAAAATAAATATATAAATATAAATTTAATATTTAACTAAGAACATTGACAATATATTGTGGTGGTGTGTGGGGAGGGTGAATTATTTCACAAAAAGTTCTAAGGTCTACTTTTGCTACTGTTACTATGAAACATACTGTCAGTAAATCTGGAACTGTATTATTGGTTTTTCAAGAAGAAAACATACAGCTTATGTAACAAACACTTACACAGTACTTACTATGTGCCTGCCACTGGCTATTTATATACTAGCTTTGCCAGAATTCATTCACCCACATGAGGACACAAAAGAGAGAGAAACTGATTTCTGCTACCACAACCCTGCTCTTCTGAGTGGAGTGGACATCATGAGAGTGTCCCTTTCTGTTCATGGGTGCCCCTAGGTCTTGTACCACCAACACCTGTAACTTCATACAATGCAGAGATGATAAATTCACTTTTTAAAATGTTTTTATTTTTTCATATTTTATATTTTTATTTTTTATTAAAGGATAGTTGACATATAATGTTATATTAGTTGCAGGTTTATAAATTGCGATTCTACATTTGTATACCTTATGAAGTGATTATCACAGTAAGTCTATTAACCATCTGTCACCGAACAAAATTATTATGACATTACTGACTTTATTGCCTATGCTGTACGTTACATCCCCATGAGTTATTTATGTTAAAACTGGAAGTCTGTACCTGTTATTCCCCCTCACCTTGATAAATTAACTTTTAATTGAAAGCCTTCTCAGTATGACTCTCAATTTTTTTTTTATGTGCCCCAGGCATGAAACAGCTCTGGCCACCAGCACAAGCATCAAGCTAGAAAGAACTAAGGACTGCATGTCTGCTTTGCCCTTGACTGACAGAGCAACACCACCAATCAGGTGTCTCCATGACACTGCCAGGGGGTTACGACTCTTAATTTTTAACTAGCACCTTAAAGATTTGGAAAAGGTTTAGAAGAATTCTATGCCTCAGTTAAGCAATTTTTCAGTTGGTTTATTCATCTTGGGTCTTTATATAATGGAAGATTAAATATATACACCACCTGGGAAGAGAGCAAGTGTGTTACTGTAAACTTTTCACAAAGACAGCCCATCCCCCACAAAAAACCCTCAGAGTACAAAGAAAGGTGAACAATAACAAGTTTGAAGGATCTATCTTTACTGCATGTGCAAATTTCTTCCTCTTAATAGAACTATAATCCACACAAAAACCTGGTGTGAAGATTAAACTTGGAAAAGATCAAGGTCAGTAGACTATACAGATGTATTGAGCAGTAGGTATCAAACAAATACCAATGTTATGAAGAGCTGTGTACATGCCAGGCCTCCTGGGGAACATGTAACTTGCATTAGCTCATCTAACCCTCCCAACAATTCTGAGACAGGATTTTGCAGTGAGAGGAACTGAGGCCCAGAAAAGGCCACCCAGTTACTAAGTGACAGGGTCTGGATTCGGCCCAGGCTGTTTAATTCCAAAGCCCGTACACGTGAGTGCCAAAATGGAACTGCTGATTTTCTACTATAAACTTGCTCTCCCCCAATCTTCCCAGCTGGTGCATGTCCAACCCCAAACCAAGAGGTCCTCCTTTGATTCCTCTCTCTTCCTCACTCCACCATCCAATCCATTAGCAAATGGCTTCAGTACTCCCCTCCCCAGAATCCATTCACTCATCTCCACTATCATGTGCCATCACCTTTTGTCTGATCTACAGCAAGAATCTCCTGTTTTTGTCTCCCAGCTATCATCACTCTTACGAGGGATGACTTCCTGGCAACTCATTTTTTATTTTTTGCTTGAGAAAGGTGACAGACTCTTTCTAGCTTTACTAACTTTTCTCCTTTTTTCAATAAACACGTATGAAGTACCTGCTGTGGGCAGGCACTGTTTTTGTATTCTAAGAGACTCGTGGACAACTATGAGTGCAAGAAGGCTTTGCTTGAAAGACCAAGTATTCAACTGAATAGTGCACTCAATGAGGGGGAAAAAGTTAAATTCATGAAGTGGCATAGACTCACTACGGATTTATTTCATTTCTGATTGGGTACCCATTATGGTGGCTTTTGAAGCCTGTGACTCACTTTAGAAAGTCCTTGCAGTCCGAGAACAGTTTAACTAGGGCTTGCCTGAGATTTGACAGATGTAATCAAAAGAGCTGGAAATGGCCATCTCCTGGCAACCTATTTGAACTCTTGAACACAGCATTTCTGAAGCCACCTTAATGCTTGGACTTTTTCGTTAAAGAGTCAATGAAGTCCCTTCTTTGCCCTAAGGTTGTTCAAGGTGGGTTTCTGTCACTTGCCACCAAGAGTCCTAAGTAACAGCCCCTCCTCCCTCCTCCGTTTTCCCTTATGTCTCTCGCTGCTCGACCACCTTCTATCCTGTTTGCTAACTTGTTCACTGTCTCTCCACCTCCTCCAACTGAGGATATTTATGAAACTATGCAACAGACTGCGAAGGATATTTTAAAAGAAGAATTTCAGTAATGTTTTTATCTTCTCCCACAATATTCTGGGCAACGGCCATATTGTGGATTTAAGCATTATCTACTTGAAAAGCCAACATCACCCAATGTGGCAAAATGGTCAATTGAGAGTTTGGATTCTGGTCTCTGAAATCAAACATGTATTAGCTGTTTTCCTTGGAGTAAGTTAGGTAATTTCTAAGCCTCAGTTTCATCTATATATGGGGATAATACTGTGAGGATTTGCTGGGATGTGGTACAGACCTCAATTAGCATAGGGTGAGGTACATAGGAAAAATGCCTGGCAAAAATGAGCTATATTATTGTACTTCATAAGGACACTTTATACAGGCTACACACTGTATAGTAAGACTGGGGCAACATTTACTTGCTTGCTTGAGAAATCACCTATAGAGCCTTCCTTTACTTTAGTTTCAACATGATATTATCGTCTGCAGAAATGGATTCCAGGTTATGCTGGTTATACTAGTTCATGAAAAAGGGCTTTCCTACAGTAGAGCATTCATCCCAAGTTTTCCAAATAGCACTAGCCTCTGGTGAGACATTAATAAACAGTACAAGTAGTAAATATTAAAATAGGGCAAAAAAAATCTATGAAGGCAAAAGAAAAAAGCAAAGACATTCCGTTTCTCTAATCAGCAAGTCACTAGAGAGACAATAAAAAAGTTTACTCTCAGGACGTAACAAATAAAAATTATTGGTATAAAATTACCACCAAGATATACTGTTTCATTCCCGAGCGTTCACTTTTACAATAAAACATCTTATAATATTGAAAATACAATGAACATGATTTACCCATCCTTTTGTTAAATCATCTCAAAATTAGGTCTGCAAAGCCAATTTGCCACATGCACAATTCAACAAAGCAAACAAAACATTTCAGCAAAACAAACACAAGTTGCTACTGTCTCACTCGGATTATTCTAGCCAAAGCAGGTGTTGTGCCGGAACAGTCTGGTTTTGCAAACTGCGCTCTTTATCTGGAGAAAACGAATCTAGGGCTACATATACAGAAGGTGGATAGAATTTAAACCCACGAAAAACTTGAGTCCCTTAAAGCAACTTATCCTAGTTTACTGACCATTACCCTGACTTCCATAACAGTTTACAAATAAAATGTCATTTACACGGCCAATCCCAGTTCCTGGCCTCACCCAAACAGGTCGTTTTAAAGTCCCCAAAGGGCCAAGGGCCTAAAGGGAAACCCCCTTTCCCCAAGAGAAAAGTCAAAATTATCTTTCCTGACCTTACTGACCACATTGTGGGCTCCTGAGATCGTCAACTGTGATCTTCGGGTCGCACCGCTGCTGCGCTGCCGGGAGCCTGGGCCCTTTTATGGAGCATGAGGGGCAACAGGCGCCCTCAGCACCCATCAGCACCCCTCAGCACCCCTCAGCACGGGGCAGAGGCCTCACCTGAGCACGGGGGGGCGGGGGGCGCTGCCCAAAAGCTCCCAGCCAGCCACATTAGCGCCCAAGTCCTAACGGGGCGCGGGCGGGAACATAAATCGTTTGTTTGCTACGACACAATCAGACGACGAAACGCCGGGGAGACTCCTGAGAGGTCCCCCCACCGAACCCGCAGGCTTGTTTCCGCAGGAACAGGTAGACATATTTTCAGGGCACCTACTCAGCGTGCAGACGGCAGCGTTAGCCAGAGGGCGAGGCTGGCGCGGCTTCTCGAGCCCTCCGCCCAAGGCCCGTCCTTCGGGCATCAACAGGTTACGCGCGCTCCGCCCGGTCTGCGACCGCAGCGCGCGGAAAATCCGAGGGGAAGCACCGGGCAACTTCAACACGCGCCCCAAGGAA